ACACACACACACACACACACACACACACACACACACACACACACACTTGTTGTTTTTTTTCATGGCCTCTTTTTTTTATGTTATTGTTTTTTTGCTTGTTTGTTTTGATTTCTGAATTTTGTTTTGTGCTTTGTGTGTTTTTTAAAGAGAGCAAGAACACAGCATTAAGGGGAGAAGGAGGAAGGAAGTAACTGGAGGAGTTGAGGAAGGGAAAAAATGATCAAAATATATTGTATAAAAAAATTAATTAAAAAAGAGAAAATATGTGTTAGGTCTCAAAGAAGCTCTGGACAAATGATGAACTGCGGTGCCCATTTAATATACAAAGCTGACTCTACCCCTCAGTCCCTGCTCTCCTGTTACAGCATCATCCTGGCTGGCGTACCTGTCCCCTACCCTAAACCTCTCAGGACCCTGTGTTTCCCTTCCCTTCCCTTCCTCCTCTTTCTCTTTTCCTTTGGCTACACATCCTCTTGTTTCTCCTGGTGCTCCTGGCTCTTGGCTCCTCTCTTAGCCTTCCCCTCTCTCCTCTGTTCTCTTCCCTCTCTCTATTCTTTTCCACTCTTGATCTCCATGCACCCACCCTCCACCCTCTGCCTGTCTCCTCCTGCAGTCAGTTCAGTCCGCTGGCCAAATTCAGTTTGGACTCTTCCAGATGCTTCTGGCTGTTTTCTTCCTCATATCTATAATAAACCTTCTCCTCAACCATACCTGGAACAGTCATATCCTCATTTTCCATTCATTAAATACCTGTGCGTTTTTCAATCAAGGAGTGAGGTCTGGAGTAGCCAGGGTCACTGTGATGACTGCATTAGCTACTTTTCTCATTGCTGTCACAAAATATCTAACAAAAACAACTCAAAGCAAGGATCCAGGGCACGGCAGCACAAGCATGGGGCTGTTGGTCACACAGGAAGTAGAGACAAAGGTAAGTTCTTAGCTTGCTTTTTCTTTATCACCTTTTTTATTCAGTCTGTTACAATAGCCCATGTGCACCTGTCTTTCTGCTTGGGTTAAATCCCTCTAAAACCACCTTCATAGACACATCCACTCATCAGTCTCCCAAGAAATCCTAAACCCAGTCAATTTATAGTGATGATTAACTATTGTAAGTCTACCCTTGTCAACTTGACACTCATCTTAGTCCATAACAGTCCACTTCTGGTCCCCTAAAAGGCTTGTGGCTAAAAGGCTTGTTTTGAAAAAACGAAACAAAACAAAAAACAAAAAGCAAAACTATATTTCTTCAAGAGTCCTCTAGTCTTAGAGTTCTAACATAGTTCAGAAGTCCTGTTTTGAAATTTGTGGCAATCTCTTCAGTGAGACCCATGAAAAGTCAAACATAAGTTGAATATTTGCCATACACAATGTCTCAGAATAAATATCCCCATTCCAAAAGGAGGAAATAAGTACAGAGGGGAAAGATCAAGTTTAAGTACGGATGAAGCCAAGCAGAAAAAAACCCAAATCCTACAGCTCTGTGCCTGGCATCTGGGTTTCTTGGTGTCATCATCTGGTCCCCAACAGTCTTAGGCCACACAGGCCCTCCATACTCACTGCCTTACCACACACTGAATCCATCCTTGCTGATGTCCCATAATCCTAAAACATCCACTGAAACCTGGGCTTCACCTTAGCAATGCTCCATAATAACCTCTCAGGGCCTCCTTGAAGGAACTCCCATCTTGCCATACATACACTGTCCGGCCTCAGCAGCTGTCTGGAATCTTGCTGCAAGCCTCCATGACCCCATTAACCCCTGCATTCTGAATGCCTACAAAAGCAGCACTTCGCAAACATCGACGCCAAGTTCCGTTGCCCGCCTGAGAGGCAGTCTAGCCACCACCGTCATCCGGGAGCCAAGTGGTCAAGCAGCTAAGCTCATATGCATCTACATCTAACGCAACCGAAGGCGAGCGCCGAGAAACCCTTTCCGTCATTTCACAGCTTTGTGTGCCTATTCACACTCGTCCTATCATTTGATTCTCACAACAGCCCTTTGAGACAGGTAGTTGCACGTCCTCATTTGGCATAAAGCAGCCGAGATTAAAAGTGTGAAAAGATAAATGTAAGTGAATGTCACTGTCATTCAAAGGAGGAAAAAAACCTGAAAACTGCTTACATATCCATCAACAGTGGAGTGGCTAAATACACTCCATTCTCCCACAGAAGGAAACAGTAGGCAGCTGTTGAGATGCTAAGGTGATGTTTCTGTTCTAGGCAAAAGGAAGTAGCACATTCTGTCCTTTCCTGCTGGACTGGGGTTGCCAGGTTCATACACCAAAAGCTGCAACATGCCTAGGAAAATTTTATTTTCTAGTAAACAAATTTTAAATAAATTTTATTTTTTAAATAGGCAACAAGGTATCGAATACCATTACGGAACTTTCAAACAAAAGTATGTTTTGGTAGATTTTCCTCTACCCTTCAACAAGAAATGTTTTTAGTGTGTGCCTTTTGTAATATTTAAGATAGAAAATGATACAGTGACTTGTATCTTATCTGACAAACCAATACTGGATGTAACTAAAATCATGGATGAAATGCTTTCAGTTTCTAAAGACTGAAGGTCCCCATGATGAAAGAAGATCATGAACCATCAGATACATTTCTTTTTTTCTTTTTCTTTTTGTTTTGATATATTTCTTGACTTTGTTCATTTTCTTTTCTTGTCCCTGAGCCTTTACTAAAAATCAGTCCAAACCCAAGAACTGTGAACTCAAAATAGAGTTCTGAGAGCCCAAGAGAAGCCCTGCCTCTCTGACCCAAGGAACGAGAATTGGCCTTGTATAAGACAGAGATGGTGAAGCAAGAAGTGTTCTGAGTCCTCCTCCCCCACAATCCACAATCCACGCAAGCCGCATGCCAGAGCTCCAGGGCAGAGTAGCCAGACAGCGAGCATACTGCTGGTAAAACAGACACAGAAAACTCATAGGAGCCTCTTCTCCCGGAGAAGAACTGTGAGATGACTCATGTAGGGGACACCTGGTGTGTGACTTAGGCACAGAGGCAGACTCAACTGCAGGAAGTTTAACGCCAAGTCAGGAGAAGGGTCCCTCTGGTTTCATCAAAGGACCAGAAAAAAACAGAGTGCTGGGGAGTTGGCAGAGAGGAGGCAGTTAAGAAAAAAATTGTCTCAGATAGCTGTAAGGAAGTCCAGGGCTCACTCTTGAGAGGCATGTGACCTAAAGTATAAGAACTAAACTGCAGGACCGAACTCCACCCAGGCTCCAGATGGCTCACTCAGTAGGCCACACATGGGGCAGATTCAGAAAACAGTCCAGAGTATATAAATATTGAGCTGATTTGCACAGCTCTGAAGAAACAGGGAGGAGTGACAGACTAAACACACTAGGTCGGATGCCTCCGCTGGTGGCCAGCCTCCGAGATGGTCCACAGTGACCTGGCATCCTGGTGCTCACATGCTTTCTTCCTGTCCCATTCTGTAGGACAGTAGGAGCTTAGCAAGAGTGAATCATGCCTCAGTAAGGAGACAGGGAAGAGAAAGAAAAGTACAACAGTGTAATTGAAAGAGAAAATGGCGCCAATGAAAGAATTTAAGGATAGGATCACGGATGGACCAAGATCAAGTTTCACACAGCAGGTAACACAGATGGAAAAGAAAAAGAGCCACTGAAGGGGCATTGGCAGCGGGAAGCTCTCTGATGTTCAGGTCAGGGTTTAACGGGATCTGGGGAGGTGGTAAATACAAATGATGTGAAAGAGGGTTTTCCCTCGGCATTATCTGCCATGCACCTGTTCTTATAATTTGATTTTCTGTTCTCTTGACTTGGAAATGTGAGGGTTCTGGACAGTCTTCAATGAACACGAGTGAAATTCTTCAGTCTTTCGAGCAGCACCGCGCTGCAGAGATGGGAGCACCTCCAGAAGCTGCCCGCTAAAAGGACAGACAAGGGCTGGAGAGATGGCAGAGTTCCCGTGTGCTTGGGTCCCGGCACCCAGGTGGTGGCTCACACCATCTATAAACTCCAGTTCCAGGGGATCTGATGCCCTCTTCTGACCTCCATGGGCACCCAGCACACATAGAATGCAAGAATAAAACATCCAGGCACAGAAAATAAATAACTCTAAAAATATACTTTTAATTTAAAGAGAAAAAGAGACAATTTCTCCTTATTTACTGGGACACTTACACATGAAGTCTTAAATCCCCACACTGAAGACTTCCAAAGGCTTTGAATCTCTGTGCTATGAGAAAGCCAACCCGTAGGCAGGAGGCGAGTGAAGGCTTCCCATGCCCAGTCTTCCCTGTTTCTCCTAACATGTGTATCAGGCATGTAAGTGAGCTTCCTTGTCTTTCCAAATAAACACATGGATGTCATGGAGCAAAAATGCCATGCTAATCTCTGCTGCACACAATGAGATCAGCTACTTTTCACTTGTCACCATCTTTACCAGCATAGGGGACTATGCCCTCAAACTGCAAGCCAGAGTAACCCTTTCTTTCCTTAAGGTCTTTCTGGTTGGATATTTTGTCATGGCAATGAAAGACTGACTCCTAAGTACATGCGGTAATTCACACTTACTGTGCCCTTCCTTAATTCTGGACTCACGGACGATAACACGACTGCTGGTCTACACCGCTAACTTTGGAGTATTTTCTTATAAGCAATAACCATAACATGTGACCTTGACTTACCAACAAACCACTGTTCTGTATTTAACGGGTGGTTAGGCAGGTCAGAAGAGGGCAGTAATAGCTAGTGAAAGACGGAGAGGTTTGCAATCAGAATGCAAAATAAGGCCATACCTAGACACGGCCTTGCAGAAGTACCCAGCAAAGAAGAGCAGGCAGTAAGACGTTTTCCACAAGCTTTATTGATGAGCTCAAGAGACGCTAGTGTGGACCAGGGCTGCGATGAGTTAAAACCCATCGAATGAACTGGAGCGGTGAGTGTTCTGGGAAAGCAGTAAGACCCTGTTGAAAGACACTGCTCAGTTGCAATGAGGGCCCAGCTGGGTTTAATGGCGTGAATTTGGAATGGGTCATATCAGCCCAGTAGGATCATGTCCTCCAACAACATTTAACAGTTTGGAAGGCAGACTTGAAAATTCAGTAGTGGGGAAAGAGCTGAGCTTTGTGTGAGAGCTTTATGACAGCTATTCACACATCCCTCAATTCATTAGTAAACATCTATTTAATACCTATTGTTTTTCAGAAACCGTGCAAGTGGAGTACACGTGCAACGTGTAACTGAGCATAAAACACATAAAAAGACAGGCCTCTGAGGGCACTAAGGTTTTCCTCCAAGGGAAATGAGATAAACATGCCTTTTAGGGATTGCATTAAAATGGGCAAAAGTATTACAGTTTTTTAAAAAGTAAGCCTTTGGGTCTGGAGAGATGGCTCAATAGTTTAGAGCATTTACTGCTCTTGCAGAAGACCTGGTGTTCAGTTCACAGTTCTCACTTTAGGTGATTCACAACCTTTTATAACTCCAGCTCCAGAGATCCTACACCTTCTGCTGGCCTTTGCAGGCACCTGCAAGCGTAACTCACATAAACTCACATGCATACACACACACACACACACACACACACACACACACACACGCAAATAAATATATCTTAAAGGGGAAGAAAAAAAAGTGAGTCTCAGGTAAATGAAGACTCCCCTCATGCCTGCATTCCTGAGAGATTTTAGCAAAGAGCTGAGAGAGAAGGAACCACAGCTCTAACAAGAACTGAAGTAGCACTCTGAGTTTGGTCAAATTACAACATCATCTCCATTTGGACTTTCTTTTGAGCTACTTAACCTCTACTTAGATTGTCTTAGTGAATATCTAGTGATATTGAGAATAAGTAGCTATTAACCAAAAAATTATATCTCAAAGTCCAGCTGGATTTCCTCAGAAGGCAACTTGGGTTTGGTTTATCTGAACACTGAAGCTTCGCAAGTCAAAGACT